GGACCTATTTTTTTTTGCCTAAACACTCTGCTCATCCTGTTTTTAACGTGTCATCCAAGATATCCTTTCACCAACACTAGTTCAGCAGTGTTTAACCTATTGAAATGTCGGGCGTCACAAATTAATCTCCCCTGGTATCCTCCTTTTGTAAATGTACCAATTTGGGATTACGCGTTGATTATAATTTGTTGGCAATGAGCCAAAAACCCACAAGTTTACATGTATTCATTGTATGCTGCACTATAGTCGTGATCTCTCACGGATTTTAAGTCACTTTCAATTTTTTTGGTCCATTTTGAAGGGCATATTTTCATTTTTGCAAATGGGAGCATACTTGCCACAGCCATTTACATAGATGGATATATAAAGCATTATTTCGAAAAAAAAAAAATTTCAAACTTCAAAATTCCGTAAAAAAATTCACATAGTAACAGCATTCCCACATTTTATATTGATAAGAAAAACTTAGGTCGGATGGGGTAATTGTTTGAATCTATATCCTGCCATATAACCGTTCCTACGAAAACTGAACCTTCATATGGCAATATGGTATAATTTACATTAGTCTATGAGAAGAGTTGGTGGATAATAGTAATTAGACATAGAAATTGATATTGCAGAATTTGGGCCACGTAGGTCTTTTCTTATTTCTTTAATCTGGTATAAAAGTTAACTGCATCAGTTTTGTGTTTGCATGGAAAGCGCGCCTATTCATGAAAACAAAGCGTAATTTTTCACAAAAATAAGTGCATGACTGTATTAGGGCAAGTGTGGCTGAGTATTTAACGACCGACCTTGACCAGTTATAATGTTTTTACGCTACGGTTTAACTTTGTTGCTTGTAATACTTTCTACTTTTTTCCTTGTCAAATAAAAGCAGTGAATATCTATACCGCTGAGACATTATAAATTCTAAAATTTCTGAAATGCAAGCGACTTCTGGATACAGATTGGCTTTCTTCGCCTTGTATTCTCAAAAACACTTTTCCATTCAACACTTCTCCGAAAAGAAACAAGTTTGTTTGTTTGATATGTTGGAAAACTAATTTTGTTTATTCTACGCAAGTGGTAGAGGTTGGAAGGTGCTGAGTTATTGCTAAGCTTAGTCCATCGCCCCAAGCATATGCTCGTATTTTAACTTCTCGAATTAACTACGTTATCAAGTCAGTCATTTCCCCTTGCCTGCAAGCAATTCTAAAAATTCTCGACAATCTCCCTTCGTTCACTTCTGGTACATTTAAGGTCTTCTGTAAAGGCAAACGAATGTTAGCTAAACAGATTTTAGTAAAGCCTTGACAGAATTGATATACCGCTAGTCCAAATGCTTGCTTTTATTTGTATTTTTTCAATATTAAGAGGAGTTTCAGCCAATTAGGAAAAGTAAAAAACGTGATAAACGGATGGGTCACTTGGCGTAGAAAAAGGTGGGTCTATCTGCAGTCTTTCTGGGTGTTACACAAACATCCGCCCAAACTTAATATATCCTTGCACTACAAGCTGTGTAGGAAATAGAAAAACAGATTGTTTAACTGTAACTTTTAATGAAAATTTTGATGTTTCCTTTTTTTTTGACTATACAGTAAAAGCTTCTTATTCGGGAGGTATACATTCCATAAAAATGACGGGAATACGGAAACCGTGAATACGGAATGGTAATTTATATGGGATTGTAGGGGATACGTTCCTAGGTGACAAAATAAAAAAGAAACCGTGAATACGGAATGCTAATTTATATAGGATTATAGGGGATACGTTCCTAGGTGACAAAATAAAAAAAAAAAGCAAATATATAAAAAAATCAATCAATTTTTAAAAGCTCCTTCAATTCAGACTGATGCGCAGCAGTCGCATTAGAAATTTGCCTCTCAAAAGTAAGACTTCGTTCCTTAGACGGATCAATGTTCATAAAGAAATCGTCAAGCTCATTTGCCATTCTTAAACCTTCCCTAAGACTTTTCAAGTTAAATGTCACGTTTCCAGTGCTTGTTGAAGCCTCTTTTTCAATGGGCGCTGAATTTAACCCTTCCTCTAAATCGGTTTCAGTCAAAGATTCATCTTGCGATTCAAGCAATTCCTCAATGTTACTTGATTCGATCTGTTCGAACCCATCTCGTCTTATTCCATTCGAGATTTCGGCTATGTTTGTAGTCAAAGTGTGAACTTTCATAGATTCTTTGTCATTTTCCGCAGTCAAAGCAGGCCACAGTTTTTTCCAGCATAAGTTCACTGCGGCTTCAGTTCTTCCAATGATTCTTTTATGCATTCCACGATGCATCTTGCTACGTCGAATTTCTTCCTGCATTCCATAACATTCATATCAGGATTACATTCCATATTATCCAATATGATTTTAAAGGTTCGTCTAATGTAATATAGCTTAAAGGCCTGGATTATTCCTTGGCCCGTAGGTTGCAGCAGAGCTGTCGTGTTGGGAGGTAAAAATGTCACTTTTATGTTTGGATGCATAGTTTCAAGTTCGAAAGGCTGATCTGGTGCATTGTCCAAAACTAAAAGTGCTTTGAAGTCTAAATTCTGTTTTTTTAAATAAGTTTCAACTTCAGAAAAAAAACAATTCCAACAATTGGGTCGCATTTTTTTAATCCGCGAATAAGAAATTTTTACTGTATTTTCAATTTTTGCATGTCATCATAATTTTGAATTTCATATTTCTTTTTAACAAAAATTGGAAGTTAATGTACCTCTTCGTTTGTGTGCGTGTTTAAAACGAAATTTAAGCTATTATAAAATTTTACATCTTATGACTCGTTTTCGATATAACATGGTACATATTGCCTTGCCATTTATCTTCTTTAAAATTCTCGTATAATATTGTTTTGATATAACGTAGTAGGTAAGATTATATTATATCTAAGTTCAACTTATATTATTCCATATCTTGGTTTAAATAAAAAAAAGTTTTGTATAAAACGATTTCGGTCCAACGTGGCAAGCATTAATCGTGGCCCATTTACGTACGATAAAGAAGATAAAAACTATCTGATCGCATTTTAAGTTGACAGTGTTCGATTTCGTATCGAGTTGCGCTTCTCCTTCGCTGCATTTGCATTTGATGTCGTAATTATAACGAGAGAAAAAGAAATAAAGGAAACACAAATTCCCTTTTCATATTCCCTCATTCATATCTTACGCCACCGAACAGCATTGGAAATAATTATATGGTTATTTGCCAAAATTCTCAAATTTCTAAGATTAAGTAATCTTTTTATCTCCATCAATTTAATCAAATATGTGCTTTTGTCACGATATTTCACTTTGAGCATAAGGTTCGATATTTATATTGTTTTCGAGTCAAAATATCTCATTTTACGTCCGATACCGAGCAAGCACTCATACGCTACTTAGTACCGCCAAGCCAAAAAGTGAGTTCACTAGCGGGTTTGCTCGCTAATCCGTAAATCGACCACACGTTATACGAGGCACACCTTGTACATAAGCTTTGAGTTTCATTTAAGTTAAATCAAGCTGCGATTTGCCTTAACTCAACTATACTTGATCGAAAATTGTCTTGCCCTTAAGTATTAGGTGTCTGCAAAAATGATGAGTATTTTTTCACTTGAAAAACATTTGCGTCCTTGTAAACTTCTAGAAACAATTGATTAATTGACTGCTAAGCAGTTCGCAACTTCTTGGAGAGTTTGAGTTGGGTTACCGGCCAATTCATGGTCCTTGAACTTTTTTGATGCTCCAGGTCGTTTTCGGGCATTGCCATGAAAATCAGCTCTTTTAACCTATTGAAATCAAAACCAACTAATAGAATACGATGGAACAGTATCATCGTAATCTTCTGAACCTGTTTGGTGGGCTTCGGCAGCAGATTTCTTCAAATTAGGCAATTTGATTATTATGTGCACTGGTATTTTCCATTTTTTTATCATTTTTACCTGTACAGGCCGCTGATCAAAATTTTTGCAAACACTTAATATTTCAAAGCGATTAACTCTTATACAAAATTTATTAATAAGCAAAATATTTTAAGCTTTAAGTTCCGTATTAGCATTGCGTCAAAGAAATTTTTGTTTAGCTATGGGCACACTAAATGGAGTCCATATTGTTGATTTAATGGAATGACGAATTTTGTACGTCGTATGTGTTTACTCGCTCTTACTCAAAAGATTAAGAAATAAAATAACGTTTGTCTTGGTTTAACAGAATACTTATTGTTTGAAATTAAGGTTTTTTTTTTTATCATTTTATTAAAATTTTTTGACGATAAGTTATGAAGGCTAATAAGTTAATTTAAATATTAAATTGGATTATTTGGGATTGTAATTTTATGATAGCTGGAGGATTATTAAATGTTCATAAATTTGAGTTTCGTTTACTTCTTTTTTTAATGTTTATATGTGTATAAAAAATTGCGAATATAAAAATTTTTTTCTTTTATTTTCGTTTGCCATTCCTTTATTTCTGCTTCTTGTAAATCTATTTAATTTTTGCTTTTGGAACTTTAGGAGTGTTATAGGATTACAATGTGTGTGTATATTTCTTTTTTGTATATTAACATCATTTTTTTTCTTATTTTTTTCTTATTGAGAATTTTAAAATTTCACTACTAGACACAAAATATAAAATCAATTAAGTAAATTTCATAACCTGAAAAAAGAAACAAACAATTGCATAATTAATTTAACTAATTTAACGGGAAGCTTCGCTTTTACACAGTATTTATATAAAGTTTAGGAATCCGTTAACGGCTTTAGAGAAGAGTGTGTCTTAAGATGTGTGATAAGAACGAAAACAACATTTATGGTAATCTATTTTTTTTTAAGTGTGTAAATGATGATTCCAGTTTAGCTTACAGGTAATTTCAGTTTGATTCAATTTTAATTTCATTTAATTAATTTCTATTCTTTTATTCATCAATTATAAGAGTTGCTTACAAATATTTTTTGAAATTTAAAAAATCTATATATATTTTCTGATATATGTGAAAACTTAAAAAATAAACTATAAAAAATAAAATAATAACATAAATAGACAATAAAAACAATTCTAATAAAAAAAAAATTATGGTATTAACTAAAAAGAAAAATATTTAAAAAAAAAAACTAGATATGCTTTTCATAGTTAAATATACAGTATTGAGTTACAATATAATAAATAAATTATTTAATAACAAACTTGGCCATTTCTTATTACAAAAAACTGATTTCAATAAATTGCATATATTATATAAACGAAAAAATTAATAAAAAGTATAAAATCAATAATGACTGCTTAAAGTTTACAGCCGAAATGAAAATATGGTTTAAAGCGTTACATACGCTTCCTTGTTAAGTCTTGATTTATTTAATATAGGCATATGAGAATACGTTTCGATGCTTTTTCTAAAATGATATATAAATATATTCCCATATTTATACGCACATATATACATATATGTGCGTGTGTATATTATGTTAATTTATGTAATGAAATTGTAACGATAAGTTACGTTTTATTAGTATGCAAATGTGTATGTAAATCGATTGTTTGCATTCGTTTATACTTTTCACTTTTCTCTTAGCTATGTCTTAGAAAAACGTCGTAGAAAAAGAAGGTTTCAGCTTTTTCCCATATTACACATTAATTTCTCCATATAGATTTGTTTCTTTTCAATTGCATCATTATAATGGTTTTTAAAAGCCAATAAAGCATTGTGCCGCGTTTTAAAAATACAACCAATATGTTACGATCGATCCGAGATATAAATTCAATGATGGTCCATATTCAGGCGTATGAAACATCGCCATTGCTTATAGGTTCATTGACCGTCGGTCTGAAGGCTTTCTTTGTTTCATTAACTACGGTTGAATGTTTGTCGGCAAAAGCCGCCATTTTATTTATTTGTGTTGAGGAAGGTGATGTCAGGGTGATTCTATAATAAGACAAACGTTTCTGTTTTTGTATGACCATGAAATATAAGGAATTGTAGGAAAAAGTTGCGTGCGAGTGCCGTAAAGTATACACCAACATTTGTGATGATGATAATGTTAGTTAGGTTAAGGAGAAAGATAAGGGGAAATACTAGTAATGTTGACCCAATCATGCCTTTTTGAATATTGTGGTTATTTAAAAAAATCTAATATAAGTTTATAGATGCGCTCTAAACAAACTTGCTTTTAATTGCATTGAGTAGCGTTAGAAGGAGTGCGATTGTTTTGTATTATTCTATCACTTTTAATTGCCGACAATTGACTGCTTTTATAACGTTCCAGACATAGTTGACCAACACCTACCTGGGATTATTGTCAACTTTTTCTCGTATTAAGGTGGCTGTGCTGTTACTGCTAGCAGAACTACCGTTTTGCTTTTGTCCTGAAGAACGTTTACTTTGATGAGGTTTTAAACGTTCTTCCAGGTCACTTAGCGATGCCTCTGAGCTCGGCGTCTCCTCACTAAAAACACAAAAAAAATTAATATACTTTTTAAGTATCGAGATTAATTTACCTTTCGCTTAGATCATCGTCGTCACATTCTTCCATTGCTTGTTGTAAATCCGCTATGCGTTGTAAAGCCAATCGTAAATCGTTGCGTAAAGCTGTTGATTCACTTTCAAATTGTTCAATTTTCTTCTCTAGATCTTTTCGCCTAGTTACGGATTCCTGTTCACGGCCTGAAACCATTTGATATTCTTCACGCAACTCCCTGAAACTTTTCTGTGACTTCTTAAGGGCGTCTTGGGCTTGGAGTTCTCGTACTTTGCACTGGGAGAGTTCAGTTTGTAATCTTTCTAAGGCTTCTTTGTGGCGATTCATTTGCACTTCCAGTCGTGTTCTAGTTGTCTGTTCCAACTCCAAACGTGATTCTAGTTCTTTGGTACGCAGTTCAAGACTATTAAAAGAACAGTAAATACGCTATTTTAAAGAGAATGAATCGGGACCTACCGTTTTGACATCATAGCCGCTGACGGATCTGCTAGATTTTCAATATTTTCTAGACGATGTTGCAAATCCATGACCTGCTCTTTTAAATTATTGCGTTCTGCTTCCAATTCTGAGATTTTGAATTCAAATTCTGATACCGCCACCTGCTCAGTGTTCAGCTGCTTTACAGTTGCGCTGAACTTCTTCATTAATTCAGCTAATTCTTCTTCATTTTCTTCGATTTGTGACTGTAATTCGGCACGATCGCGTTGGGCTGTATTTGCTTTGTCTTCGGCTTCGTTACGAGCTCGATTTGACTCTTCAAACAGGGTTTGCACCTCAGCTAGTTCAACTTCGGTTGCTTGTCGCGTCTTCATGGCCAGCATACGTGCCGATTCCGCATCTTCTAGTTGATTGCGCAGTTGCCGTATAAGAGCCTTACCGGGAGTGTCAGCTTTCAGTCTTTCCAATTGAGCTTGAGCATCTTTAAGCAAAGCTTTGTGTTTTCTCAAGTCACGCCTAAGTTTCTGATTAGCTGCTTCCTCCACCTGCCGATCAACTCGATCTTGATCTTCCATAGATGATAAACGTCGCTCCAATTCGTGTTTTTCACGTAGAAGCAACGTTCGTTCTTCATGCTCTGCTTCTAGTTGACATTCGAGGGCTGTAACAAAATATTATCGTCTTAAAGTTAGATTTGATTTCATTTAATTTTTTAAAGCTTTATTTACCTTTAATTTTCTTGTAAGCACTACCACGTGCCTCCTCCAATTCTTCGTCGCGTTGCTGAGCTTCGCGCCTAGCCTCCTTGCGCATCGTTTCCAAAGACATTTCTAAACGCAGTTTCGCTTGTTCTAACAGTTGCACTTGACCAGCCATCTCATCCAGTTCCTCTTCCTGTTCTTTTACTCGTCTGTCCAATTCGTTTTTGGATCGTCTCAACTGAGCAATCTCTTCTTCAGTACCGCCGCCAAACGTCATTTCCTCTAATTCACGTTGCAATGATGACAACTTCTCTTCCTTGAGATCAAGCTCAAGTCGAGTGTCCTTAAATGTTAGTGGTAAGAAGTTAAATTAGAATTTATATACTAAATGATATCCCATATAATTTATTTAAAGAAATTATTTTAAATATTAACAATGCTTAAGTCATCTAAGTTATCTAAATTTTAGATTTTAGAAACTTCTTGGAATGAACATTTGTTTAAGTTTAGAAATAATAACGAAGATTTGAAAATCTGAAATTTGCGAGAACAGTTGTGACAGAGGCTGTCCTTCTCCCGAACGACACCGTTACTATTTTATCATTCAGCGATTTTATATTAATTTTTGGAGGGTATGGATGTTATAGTTGTTGAAAATTACGTTTCAGATATAATGATTTGCTACAATGGAAGTTAATATTATCTTACAGCGTAGCAATCGTAGGCGATGTAGATTTTATATATAGCTTCAATGGCAAGTGCATGTCGATCGAACGACGTTATTTTCTCGATTTTTTTGATATAAAACTAGCAATAGTTTTCCTTGGTTCAAATTATATTGCCTTCTTCTGAGTACGCGCGATCGCACCTTTACCTTAGGACACAGTAGTAGTAGTAGTAATCACAACTGAATTTTGGATTTGTGGTGGTTCTTAAAGCCTCGTTGAACGGCTAGGAGAGTGCCTAATGAAGCATTCCGTTTGACGCCTTGTACGTATCTCGACGAAATCTCTTTTCACCTCTTGTTTATCGGACAGCAATTTCGCCACTTACTTAGTACACTTTTTGGTTTAATAGGACCGTTACCCTGTTACATTCTGCACAGAAACACAACTGAATCTGTTGCATGCAATGCATTTGTCCGATAAAACCATCGATCAATTTAATTTTTTTTTTTAGGATTGCCTTACAAACAAAATTTAACACAAAACATTCATACTTGAGATAAATAATCTCAAATAACAACCACATTTTAAAGTTAGCACACAAGTGGTAAATATTTTTTTGCGCAACTTTAATTGGAAAATAGATATTGGAGCATTTTGTCTGGGACGAATATTATATTTGATGCAATATCACAAAAATCATGACAATAACAACAAAGTTTGGCAACTCTGCGTGCGTGTTGTAGTCGCGTTTTTATTCTGTGCAAGAAATATTTTAATTTTTGTAGTGTATTTATTAGCTTTTTTGCTTTATTCGTGTTTAATTTTAAAAATTCTCTAAAAGAATAAAGTGTAAATTTAACGTATATGAATTTATTAACCATTTATATGAAAAAATCATTTTGGTTTAATGTAATCAACATTTGAGCTCTTAGCGAAAGTCTCTCTTTTTGCCTGTTAATCTTTGTTTACAGTTTCTCTAGCATTCGCTTTATATTTACAGTGGGCAGGGCAGTGAGAAATTTGCTTTAATTTGCTGAAAATTTGTGCCGTGGAATTTTTTAGTTTTTCTTTTTTTCCTTCATAAGCTACTCTTGTTGTTTTCAATGGACATGGACTGCGTATTTACACTATGTCATGCGAAAACGGGCCCTGAATCTGAACGATTCATTTCTTGTTAGCTGTGTGATCGTTTTGGACATGCAAAGTTTGCTGGTATTATGGGCCGTGCTGCTGATGCAGTCCTTGACCCTTCTAAAGGTTTATGATGGTCATGCAGAAAGCGGGATGTTGATTTCTACAAACTCTTCACGGAGACGAGAAATTGTTTCTCAGATTTGAGCAAAGATCTCGGCTCCTTGTGGGAGAAATTTGAAATAATCAAGACTAGGTTTGATGAGTGTGCAGTCATCTTCCTCTCCAGCTAACAAAATTTCAACCCGTAGCGTACCGTGTGGTTTGTCACCTCTGTGTTCTCCTAAGTCCGTTTCGTCGGTGCAGGTTAATTCGGTCGGTAACATAAAAGTTACAAAAAAGCCGGGAAGTCCTTCTGGTTTGAGCTATGCTGATGTCACTCAATCTTCTCAGGCGTCATCGCCTAAAACTAATAATGATAATAGTAAGTCGTCCTCTCGTCCTGGCTGTTCGAGTGTGAACGCCGGTCGCCAAACTGGGCACGTCGCACAAGCTGTTCGTGCAAGTGTGGTTACCCCTTTTATATTTTCCCCAACTCATAACTCCCCATCTGTCAACCCTGCTGCTCCTAGTACAGATGATATATGTTTGAAGGTAGTTCCTCCCAAAAAGGCAATATTTGTGTCAAGACTAGCGCCAGATACATCTGTTGATAACATACAAAGTTACCTGGCAGCAAAAGCCCCTTCTGTCAATTTAAAGCGCGTTAGTATTTTTAAATTGGTCCCTTCTCAATCTAGAGGTATCTCATCTTTTAAAATTCTAGTTCCGACTGAAAATATGGATTTGATGTTAAATAAACCATTGTGGCTGGTTGGGTCCTTAATTAAGGAATTTATCCCTCAGGATCGACCCCGTAATGCTTATGCAGTAGCTCTTTCCCCTTCAAAAAACTAAATATTTCTGCAGGCTTATTTTCTCTCATTTATCAAAATGTTAGGGGCCTAAATTCAAAAATTCGTTCTACCTTCCTAAATTCAGTGAGCACGGAGTTTTCCTGTTTGGTCTTCACTGAAACTTGGGTATAGCCGGATCTACATTCGTCGGGACTTTTTCATAATCCACTTCAAGTTTTCCGAAACGATCGATTGTATCGCAATGGTGGTGGTGTTTTAATTGCCGTTTCTTCGGCAGTCCCCTCCAATTCATTTGAATTTCCAACTACTCACGACGTTCATTTTATCGCCGTTCGAGTGAAATTTCCTAATAAACACTTATATGTGACTTGCTCCTATATTCCTCCAAATTCGGATATCTGTGTATAAAAGAAACAGACTGTCCTCATTTGTGAAGTGGCTAAGCAATCTAAACCTGCGGATATAGTCATTGCGTTGGCTGACTTCAATTTGCCTCAAGTCACTTGGTGTTACAATGATAGTTCTGGGTCTTTGATTCCTACCTCAACATCTGGTAGAGCCGTTGTGTTCTTTAATGAATTATTTGATCATAATTTAGTTCAATACAATGGTACCCCTAATTGCAATGGTAGATTGCTTGATCTTTGCTTTGCAAATTTCCTAAGTTAAAGTTGTTTTCCGTTTAGTTTGCCTGAGGATCCATATCATCCAGCATTGGGTTTTTCCTTCCATTACAAGCATGTGGGTTCGTTGAACGTCTATAACGTTCCGAATTCAATTTTTTCAAATATATTTTATGATTTCTATATAATAAATGTTCCAATGCTAAAATCACATCTTTCGCATATAGTGCTTGATTTCTCAGTGGGAAGTATTAACAGCTTACTGTCGTCGTTCTACAATATATTAAGTCAAGCTATTTTTGCATCCGTTCCAATCAGGCAATCCCGTGCTCGAAGCAAATGTCCCCCGTGGTTTAATAAAACAATTAAATATTACTAGAATAGGAAAAACAAGCTTTTCAAAAAAGTTTCGAAAAGTGGTTCTTTTTTCGACTATTTCGCTTACTCAGTGGCAACGCATAAATTTAATTCCCTCAACTGCCAATACTATTGCAGATACCTTCAGTTTGTTAAATCCTCCTTGTTTGCTAATCCGAAATACTTTTTTAAGTTCGTTAATTCCAGAAGAAAAATCTCCATAAATCCCTCGCATGAGTCATTTAATAGTTCCTCGGATGATTTTGAAACCTCAAATCTCTTTGCGGAATGCTTCCGACAGAACTTTTCAACTGTTAATTTTGACTTATCAGCAAACTATCCATATCTGATTTTTAATTTGATTTCAATTCCTAACTTTGTTATAGCTGAAAATAACGTTTTTGAAGCATTGAGCTCTCTAAGATATAATTGTTCGCCTGGACCTGATGTAATCCCCTTATTTGTACTTATATTTTTTGCTGGCGAGCTATGTGGTGTTATCTCAAAGATTTTTAACAAGTGCTTGAATTTAGGTGTTTTCACTTTGTGTTGGAAGACTTGTTTCCTTATTCCTATTCACAAAGGTGGTAGTAGGCAACTTGTAGAGAACTACAGAAGCATTGCCAAGTAGAGTGTCCTGCCTAAACTGTTCGAGCGAATTGTGGCTCAACATATAGCTCACATTTTCCATGAATTCGTGCATTCTTCCTCTCCAACATGGTTTTCGAAATGGAAGATCTACGGTCATCAATCTGTTAGAGTTTACTTCTCATGTTTTCAAGACTTTTCTAGTGGCTCTCGCACTGTTGACTACAGAGCGTTTAACTTCAGCAAAGCGTTTGATTTGGTTAACCATAGACTTTAAACTTCAAGCCTCTGGCTTACCTTTCTTCTTAGTGGAATGGTTAAGCTCTTATCTGCGTGGTAGATCATTCAGGGTTTTGTTTAACCTCATTACCTCAGATGAATTCTCCGTCTTTCGTACCTCAAGGTAGCCACTTAGGACCCATTTTATTTAATTTATACATCAATGATTTGCCCTCTATGATTAAATTCAACGAGATCTTAATGATGCTGATGAAAACTGGTTTCTTCCTTTTCCGTAGAATCGCAATCACATCATCTTCAATGTGATTTGAATAATTTGGTTGCATGGTGCTCTTTGAATCTTCTGAAACTAAATCTCAGTAAATGTAAAAAGCTTTCTTTCTCAAGAAGGAAGTCGTTCATTACTCAGTATTTCATTGATTCGCACAAGTTGTAGGACGTCGATAAGTTCACATATTGAGCTCTCGTTAAGCAAAGCTAGCTCCGCGCTTGGTTTTATAAAGAGGTGGTCCAATGAGCTTGATGATCCTTATATTACGAAAAGCCTTTACGTGTGTTTGGTTAGACCTATACCTTGAGTATGCCTCTGTTGTGTGGTCTCCTTCATATAGGTGCTACGTAGATTCAATTGAATCTGTTCAAAAGCAATTCTTGCTGTTTGCCCTTAGGAATTTGGTTTGGGACCCGATTGCCCCTCTTCCATCCTATGAAAACAGGTTGGTTCTGTTATCCTTACTGGAGACACGTAGATTTGTTCTTGGGATTTCCTCCGTAATCAAATTAATAAATGGCACAATTGACTCGCCAGTATTACTTCGT